CCAGAACAGACTCTAAAAAGTGCTGTAAAGATTTAAAAAATATTTTTAAAAGGTTTTAAGGATGTTGAAGATAACTCCATTCATTTTCAATGAGAAAAAAAATATCAGAAAAATCTAAATAGCTAAAAAAGTACAAGTTGCTGAAATACCAAAAGTCATGGCATCCATGATGGCATAAATGACATGAACATTTTGATATATGTTYTGTTGAAACAGCACAAAAATTGTGGAACAAGTTTTGATGCCAGTAAACGCACTGAAGAAAAATGAATGATCCTTTAGCAACGTATTTTGCAGCACTGGGAAAAGTATTTTCCTATGTATAACCTCTATCATTTTGTTTTTAGGTATCACTGTAAGACTCGTCGCTGTGGGCCACTAAACTTGACGCTTGCGTCTCAGTCCTGCTCATCCAAACAACACCACGCCATAAAGACTGTCCGTGTGCGACAGCTGGACACTCTGCAGCCTTTGGTGCAGGACCCCCGCCTGGATGTCCGAGTCATCCAGCTGGTTCGAGATCCACGAGCCATCTTAGCGTCTCGCATGGTGGCTTTCTCCTCACAGTATCAGACATGGAAGGCCTGGGCGCAGGGTGGCCAGGTACCCGAAGACGACGAGGAGGTGAAGAAGCTCAAAGGAAACTGTGACCATGTCAGGGTCTCTGTAGAGATGGGACTGAGCCAGCCGGACTGGCTCAAGGGACGTTACATGTTGGTGCGTTACGAGGACATCGCTCTGTATCCGATGGAGAAAGCGGAGGAGATGTACAAGTTTGCCGGGATACCGTTTAGCTCCCAAGCCAGGGAGTGGATCCTGAGAAACACGCAGACTACAGAGAGAGCCAGTGGAATATACTCCACTCAAAAGAACTCCTCCCAGCAGGCTGAGAAATGGAGATATAGCATTCCCTTTACACTGGCTCAGGTGGTGCAGAAAGTGTGTGGACCCACCATGAAACTGTTTGGATACAAATTTGTGGATGACGAAAGAACACTACTCAATAAATCTATTAGTTTGCTTGAAGATAAATCATTTTATTAACCATTAAAGAAAAAAAAATGCTGCATACAACAGATAAGAATCTGAAGAAGCCAAAACATCACAAACCGTACCTAATAAGCAAGGCTGCCACAATGTTTTACAGGTTTAGCTTTTAGGCTTTTAGTTATAGTCATGCTCATTGATAAAGTGCCTAATTTCAATGTCAGAAGCCTCTTTATAAAGAATATAACTTATCAGCAGACTGTGTTCACCAAAAAGCCTTTACAGTTTATTTACAGCTAGAAATGGTAAAAGGTAAATGGCCTATAGCTCTAAAAACACATACATGTCAAGTTTGACGTAAGGTGGTGATGTTGGTATTTTCAGAGATAAATTATAATGAACTGTTTTGTGTGTGTAAATTGAAAATGATTTTTTTTTGTAATTAAAATATTCATATTTTGGAGGTATCACAGACATCTGCTGGCAAATGATCAGATTTTTCCTAACATGATGTGTTGTTGACATGTTTTCAACAAATCCTGCTCAGGTGAAATGAATGTGACACATTTGCATCTTTACAGGAAGCTTTATTATGTTTCCAGCCGCCAAACTCTTTCAAAACATGGAATAAGCCTTACCTTAAACGTGCCCTCAAGTGTTGCTTTACACTGGAGCCACCATCAGGATGTTCTGTACCTTCCATTTCTGTCCTCGAAGTAAACAAAAGCTCTTTCTTCTCAAATGATCTGCTGCTTGTGTCACCGTACTGCCTAACTGAAAGTTCCTACACTGAATTCATGGAAATGTACATAATTATTTGTGCTGTGAGTTTATTTTCAGTTTACAAAGTGATAAAGCCATCAAAAAACAACGAGACCAACTAAATTCATCCTGAGTGTGTTTTTATGACCACAGTGTGCTTTCCCATGGTGTAAACCCAGGTGGTGTTGTGTTGATGGTATATAAAGGTAACCACTGTGTATGGTTCAATGGCAGCATTGTGCTCAGTTTGACTGAGGCCCCACTGAAACGGTCCTGCTGCTCAGGGAAAGAACTTAACCTCCTAGATCCATATAGTAGTCAGATTATACTATTAGTTATGTCAAAAAATAAATATTCAGAAGATGCTGAGTTGTCAAAAGCACTTTGGAATTAACCAATATTGTTAGTTTGAGTTTAATACTAACATCGGTTTGAATTCAAATATTTCTGTTTTAAGTATCACTTTTCATCAAAATAAGTCTCAATTTATTTTTTAAGTTTACATTTTATATGATCTAAATCAGAGGTTCTCAAAGTTTTTGTGTCTGGGGACCCCTTACAAGGGTGAAAAAATTCCAGGGACCCCCTCGTAAACCCCATGCGGTTAATGCAAAAATAATTTACTGTTATTTTAACCCCTAAATGCTATGGTAATATTATTTTTTTGTCTGGTTTAGTGTGTTTGTTTTACTAGTGCATTATTCCCCATATACATTTTTAAATAAAAAACAAATTAACAATTTATTGAAATTTTTTGAGGACACCCAAGGCACAGCTCGTGGACCCCCCGGGGGTCCTGGTACCCCAGTTTGAGAACCTATGATCTGAATAGTTCAGATTGACAATAATTAATGTTAAATTTAAACATTTTTCTTCCAAAGTTTTGTCAATACTTTGTGTTAGTTTATCTTTTTGATGTTAAATTTAGCTTCAGGTAATCTTATGTCCTGGTCTTTATAATTTTTGAAACTTAAAAGGAACATAAATCAACATTCCTGGCCTGCAGGTAATCTATATTGTTAATACAGTGTATTCTGCAAAAATATGTAGATTTTTTATTTATATATTTTTTGATGAAAGATTGAAGTCACAGTTTTGAATGACTTGCATTTTTATAAACATCCCTCATTTTTGATACTTAACTGTGCTGTTTTTTATTTTTTTATTTACTTTTGTCTGGCAGTCTGACATGAAATAGATGGCACATCCATCCATCCATCCATCCATCCATCCATCCATCCATCCATCCATCCATCCATCNTCCATCCATCCATCCATCCATCCATCCATCCATCCATCCATCCATCCATCCATCCATCCATCCATCCATCCACACGTTCTCTTGGTTAAAACAGGTGTTTTATTTATGTTTATTTTTAGTCCTTTATTATTAATATTAGTAATTAGTTTTTGTTTTTTGTTATTGTTAACGTTTTTTCACAATTCAAGTTGCCTACAAAATGTTCATTTTAGTTTAAATTATTAAAGGGGCAATATTATGTGTTTCACATGCACATATTTAAATTCTAAACCATAATAAAGTAACTATGTCACATTCATGTTATTAAAATGCTCTTTATATGTTTGAATAGAAAATAAACTGATTCAGTCGGAGCAATTCAAATTCAATTCCTGCTGGCACAAGATTTATCCCATAACTTCTCAACATGTCTGTTTCTAAACGCCATGAAATTGACCTCTGTCTCTTTAAGAACTCCCTTCCACTTCTGTCCCGCCCATTTCAGTACAGGGCAGGGTGTGTGCTGTGCTACGAGGAAGTTTGGCTTGGAATGGAGACACAGACCAGAGGAGGAGCTGATCCCAAAAGGCGGTTCTAGTCCCACTTGGTCGTTGTTGCTCCCCTGCCTGTCTGCCTCAGGACACTACAGAATTTCTCAAACATGCATGAATGAGTCAAAGTAAGACTGGGCATGTTGTTGATGAGAGGATAACATTATAACATGATATAAAACTAAAAAAAGTTGATTTTACATGATATAGCCCCTTTAACTTTTTAGGCCTCTGTTATTGAATCTGTTACCACTATCAATAGCAAGGTAGAAAGTAAATAAAAAATTGTCATCCTGATATTTTAGTTTGTTTGAATGCCCCTGAAATAACTTAATAAAATAATTAAAATAAAACCTGATTCAGAACATTTTTTATTGTAATCTCCAAGCCCAGAATTACACAGTGGATGAGAATGGCATTGATAAAATGGGGATTAATGTGGGATTGTTTAAATGCAGACTGTTGCCAGGGATCCCCCCGAAAGCCTGAGTGTGAATTACGCAGAAACAGGGAGCCCATTCACGTCTGCATTCTTTCTGTCTGAATGAACTCCCAGCTGAGGGAAGGCACTTTGGAGTTAACAGCTGCTGGTCAAGCAGACCACTCCACTGATGTTATTTCAACAGCAGCACAGCAGGTGTTTCTATACGGCACAAAACAGAAAAGCTATTTGAGCATTTTTTTTCCCTCTTAAGACATCCTGTGGTGGTGAGAGCGCTGCTGGTGCTGTGGAGTTTTAAGAATGACAAGTGAACCCATCACAAGTAGCAGCTGCCACAACTGAAACCTGATTGTATGTTGAGTTCAAAAACAGAAAGGAGGCAATGATTTAGAACGAGTTATAAATGACAACTGATGAAGCAAACTTGATTAGTAATTGGCAGACACTTTATCTATGGTTGTCTCTACACTCAAACCAAACAGAAGTTGTCTTTATTTTGTTATTTTATTTTAATAAAATAAACAAATCTAAACAACATGCACAAAACCAATGCAATTGGATAAAACACTTTTTCTCAATCCATAAAATGATTTTTACTGTTTCTCAAATATGTCAGTCAAATATTTACCATTTGATTCTCATTAATAAGTAGAATTTCAACAACTAAAACAATAACTTTTTTCTGTTTTGTTCCAGTATGTTCTTAAAAATCAGTAAGTATGACTGTGACCATGCAAACAACACATTTCTATAAACTTGCGGCTGTGATGATGGACGACAGCTGCACTGCAACTGACACCAAGTTTTGTTACTCAGTTTTATTTTCATTGTGGCTCATGAGTTTAGATTTATGAATTAGTACAGTCACCTCAATGTTCACCTATACTACCTTTTTTTCCTCTTTTTCTTGGTCTAACAGGCTATTTGCACTTTTTGCCCCATGGGTTACTCCGGCTCCAACCGTCATGACATGGAACTGGTATACAGATGCACACAGTGTGCTTCTAGGTCCATTCAATGACTCCACTTGTGCTGCGTAAGGGAGGGGACAGGGAGAGCTGAGAAAACAGGAAACCCACCCTTCCTTGTTTAGCATTTCTGGCTTACATCTATGTTTCTCCTCTATTAAACATCTCAACATCTCACTTCTGAAGCAAGTTATTTAAAAAAATATATATTTTCTTCTTAAAAATGCTTTTGGAAAGATATGTTTTGCTAATTCAAACTGTTTTCTGTATTTTCTTTTCCAGCTTTGTGACTTTTAGGATCATGGAATTCACTTTCTGGTTGAAGCCGTTCAGTGTTACAACATGACTAAGCTACTCTTACACAAAAGCACACTCATAGGCTACACACAAACATTGTGCACCTCCACTTTTCTAAGTACATACCAAATTACTTCTTACTGGCAGTTTGGCAAGTAAATAAAAAAAAATCATGCGGATGGGGTGGAACACAGAGTGTCCTCATATGTCTCTGCTGCTGCTGAAAGAGCCCTTGTGTTTGAGTCTTTAAAGAAGCTTCAGTCAGCATGTGTGCACTGACAGGCTGCAAGTGGTGCACCACGGAAAAGATTCAGACGTAAAAAACTTAATCTTTAACTGAAATGGAAAAATACTTATTTTTTAAATGAAACTGTTGAAAAATTTTAAGATTTTCTGAATGATAAAACTGTTGCTCAGTTTTTGAGCTTTTATTTTCTGAGCCCTGTAGAGGGCAGTAGACTCTTAATGATCATGAAGACATCAAAAGAACCATATATGTGTGTAAATACAGCATTTTATGACATGGTGCCTTTATTTACATCCATGTGCGCATCTGTTCAACTGGCAACTCTAAACTAATTAAAAGAAGACTCATGCTTGGTTCTCTAAAACACATTGTCAGCTTTTTTGTTAGATTTTTTCTGTTTCTTAAATTCAAAAGAATTTACAGGGCGGTTTAATATTTCTGCATTTACATACTACCAGATAAAAAAATATAAAACAAAATACAAATAATAAAACTCAAAGTTTCAGAATGAAACCAATAGAATTGATTTAAATATATGGGAAAATAGCTTTTTATGAGTGTAAAAACACACACACAGACACACTCTCCCACAACCTGTTTTAACTTTCAGGTGGAAATCCCTTCAGGGGAAATTGTCCCAGACTCACCTGTACCATTGTTTCCTTTGCTCTTCCTGTGTGAGGAGCCTTGTGTTGTTTGAATACAATGGGGGTCAAGGAAATCAGTGCTCCTATCAGACAGACACTCCATCATGGTGACAGAGAGGACCGACAAGAAATGGCACAAACGCTCAATGCCAAATAACCCTATTTTGTAGTGCTGCCATTACACGGTGAAATGTAAAGAGTGAATATGCTGAATGTGCTGTAGCCTCTGCTGGTCTGTAAAATTTGTGCGTCAAAGATAAATAAAACAGTTTTCTTTATTTAATTTATTTTTATGTTCTCACTTATGTTCAAAGGAAAAAAATACAGTAAAACAAATTGTAACAAGACGATACAAAACAAAACACAGATACCTGTGTTGATTTAACACAGTCTCCACTAGGGGGCAGCTGCAAGGTCTGCAAGCTTCTCTGGGGGACAATAAACAGGGCAATTTATTTCAGTTTTTAGGGAAGATGCCAAAAGTGCAGTCAAATGTACTGCCATAAAAATGGTACCCTTAATACTTATTCCCACTAAATAATTGGTAAATAATTTAGAAGATGAACCGGCATGGCCAAGCTTACTCATTTTTCTGACTCTCGGGGCACAATGTTTGCCTGACAAGAAACCAAACTTACCAAATTTAAAACCCATATGAGCAGTTTCTCTGCAATAAGAAATTAAATCACTTTGATATCACAGCCAGTTGGTGAATGCTATTGTTGT